TATGCACAAACGAGAGTGAGCACACATTTAGAAGACTGTCGCAGCGTTCTCTCCCCGAACGAAATGGTCAAGGCAAAGAAGTTGTTACTCAAGCACGCCGATGTATTCTCATCAAACGATGCTGACATAGGAAAGACTGGCTTAGTTCAACACAAAATAGACACAGGAGAAGAATTGCCTATCCGTCAGCGGCCAAGAAGATTGCCGGTAGCATGTGAAAAGGAATTAGAAACCATGATTGAAGGAATGGTGAAGGACGGTGTTATTGAACCTTCCTCTAGTCCATGGTGTTCATCCGTGGTGCTGGTAAAGAAAAAGGATGGCAGCATGCGGTTTTGTGTTGACTACCGCCGTCTGAACGACGTTACGAAGAAGGACAGCTATCCCTTGCCAAGAATTGATGACACACTGGACATGCTTACAGGAGTAAAGTGGTTTAGCACGCTGGATCTAAAATGTGGCTACTGGCAAGTTGAAATTGACCCTAAGGACAAGGAGAAAACTGCGTTCTCGACGGGAAAGGGTCTGTGGCAATTTAAAGTAATGCCGTTTGGGTTGTGCAATGCTCCAGCAACGTTTGAAAGGCTGATGGAACTTGTACTTACTGGGCTAATTGGCGATGCCTGTCTGGTCTACTTGGATGACATCATCATCGCGGGCCGTACGTTTGAGGAACACCTTCAAAACCTGGAACGCGTGCTCATGAAGATTCAGAGTGCCAACCTCAAGTTGAGTCTGAAGAAATGTTCACTATTCAAACGGCAAGTCAACTTTTTGGGGTATGTAGTGTCGGAAGAAGGTATCCACACGGATCCAGAGATAATCGCAGCTGTCAAGGATTGGCCGATTCCAAAAGACAAGACGCAGGTTAGAGCATTTTTGGGTTTGTGCTCCTATTACCGGCGATTTGTGAAGAACTTTGCAGATATAGCCAAACCTCTGCATAAGCTAACCGAGGAGAAGCGACAATTCTGCTGGGATGAAAGTTGCAATATCGCATTCCAGGAGCTCAAGGATCGTCTGTGGAAAAACACCTATTTTGGGATACCCTGATGCAAGCAAAGAATTTATAGTTGACACAGACGCAAGTGATATAGGACTTGGCGGTGTGTTGTCTCAACGAAATGGTGACCAAGAGGTCGTGATAGAGTAATTCAGCAAGTCGTTGTAAAACCGGAAAGGAACTATTGTGTCGCAAGACGCGAATTGCTAGCTGTGGTAAAGTCGTTGCAGCATTTTAGCAAATATCTTCTGGGGCAAAAATTTTGCTTACGAACTGACCATGCTGCACTAAAATGGCTATTGTAGTTTAAAAATCCAGAAGGACAAGTTGCGAGGTGGATTGAACTACTGCAGGAATACGACTTTGAGATCGAACATCGCAGCGGGAAATCTCATGGCAACGCAGATGCATTGTCAAGAAGACCTTGTCCTGAAGATAGCAAACATTGTACTAGGCAAGAGAGTAAGGAAGTGGTATCCGTGAGGAAGGCCAGGGCAGACCACCTCAGCAGCAAGTGGAAGGACAGCTTACAACGTGCACAGCAGGAAGATCCGGACATCAAGCCGATTCTGGAATGGATGAAGGCCAGTGTTCCCAAGCCCAAGTGGAGTGACGTCTCAGCGATGAGTGCGACCACTAAAAGCTATTGGACCCAGTGGGACAGCTTGCTGCTACAGAATGGAATTCTGTGCCGTAAATGGGAAAATATTCGGGGAGACAGCTATCATTTGCAAATGGTTGTCCCTAAAGCTAAGGTACCGGATGTCCTACAGTTGTACCATAATGATTATTCAGGAGGCCATCAGGGAGTGAAACGAACTCTACTGAAGATCCGAGAACGGTTTTACTGGGTCCACTGTCGAAATGATGTCGAGGACTGGTGTCGCAAATGTACAAGTTTTGCGGCTGTAAAGGGACCTCAGACTCGTAGTAGAGGTGCGTTGAAGTTGTATAATGTTGGTGCACCAAGGAAGAGAATAGCCATTGACGTGGCGGGGCCGTTTCCGGAGAGTGAAAGCGATAACAAGTATTTACTTCACTAAGTGGCCAGAAGTCTTTGCCATACCAAATCAAGAAGCTTCAACAGCTGCAGATAAACTAGTTTATGAAGTCTTCTGTCATTTTGGAGTATCTTTAGAGATTCACAGCGATCAAGGAAGGAATTTTGAGTCTCAAATATTCCAGGAAACTTGCCGAGTTATGGGTACTCATAAAATAAGAACGACTTATCACCCGCAATCTGATGGAATGGTAGAACGATTTAATCAGACATTGGAGAGGTACCTAGCAAAAGTTACAAGAGGTACAAGCACATACAACCGTTTTTGTTGTCATATCGAAGCGCTGTTTACGAAAGTACAGCAATGACACCAGCTTTCGCAAACTTTCGAAGAGAATTACGGCTGCCTGCAGACCTGATCACCGGGATACCACCTGATGCCCCACGCAGTATAACTGATTATGCAAATGACTTGCGGAACAAAATGAATGAAAACAATCGGGCCAGCAAATATCTGAGAAGATGAAAACCCGGTACGACCGCAAAATGAACAATAAAGGGTTCGACGAAGGTTCACTAGTCTGGTTGCACAATCCAGTTCGCAGCAAAGGGAAATCTCCTAAGCTTCAAGCTAAATGGGACGACCCGTACCGGATTGTAATCAAGATCAACGATGTAATCTACCGGATACAGAAAGGCGCAAGAGGGACTCCTAAGATTGTCCATGTGCATCGATTGGCGCGTTATTATGGGGCCGATAATGCTCGGGACGAGCATGTCTTAGGTGGGGGCAGTGTTGCGCGAATAAGTCGACGTCATGTACACGGCACTAGCGCCATCTATTGTCAGGGACGAGAGCGAGGAGAGCTTTCCAATGAAAATGACATCACTAATCTTTCAACCGACAGCGCCATCTAGTCTCGAAACGAATAACTAAGCTTCTAGAAGCTGACACTCGAACTCAACTCGCCTTGCGCATGTTTACTTGAATATTCTAGATGTTTCGGTGCTATGTACTATAGGCGCTGCAAGCACACAAGATTAATTATTAGTGTTTTTAGTTTTAATGGGTGTAAAGAAAATTAAAGTGTGAATTTAGGTAATTCTATCGGAAATTTTTATAGTCACGAACCTCAAGCTCGTAACAATAGCATAATGAGGGCTAATAATCTTCCTCTCACCAAATGTCGCTAAATGACACTGAGGTGAAGTTTATTGTTACAGTGTAATTAATGAGAAGACGGCCTCGTTGGTCTAGTGGTTGTAGTAGTGCGACTGCTGATCATGAGGTCCTGGGTTCGAATCCCGGGTCGGGCCAAAAAGAAAAGAAATCCTCAGTAGCTGCCCGAAGTCAGGAAGTTGGCGGTGTCTCACCCCCGTGCCTCGGAAAGCACGTAAAGTCCTGCGCCTGATGTTTCTCTCTCTCTCTCTCTCTCCCATCCCGACGTCCCATCGGATTATGAGAGTGAGGGGATAGAGAGTGCACCTGTGCTTGCGAATACACTTGGGCACTATAATCCTGTCCTGCGCCGATGGCTAGCCTCCGTTGTGGCAGGCCGCCGTGGCCGAAATTTGGTCTGGAGGACATTATTATTAATTGAGAAGTATCTTTTAAATAAAAGTTTATCAGTTTCTAGAGTATTATATTAATACAAAAGGCAATGCCTCAGTGATTTGCTGTTTAATTGTTTTTGTACATTTGATCCCTCATTTTAGTTTTTCGACTTTAATGAATATTTATTTATTTTTTGATTTGGTTTATTTATTTTTAATCTAATTAATATAAAATGTAACTAATAGTGCAGAAAGAAACATCAAGCTTTACATTATTCGAAGAAATTAACTTCGTATGAAATCTGTCAATATTACACCTAATTTTTAAGTGGCGCCGCCCTAGTGACAGAAAAAGTCGTGAAAGCCCTCACTGCTTGCACCGCAGTGTTCCAGTCTGAAGGGTATAGAGAGTCAGTATTACTACAATCTTTGAGAAATTGCATCTTTGTAGCCCACTTTATTTACAGTTGGTTGTAGGTGTGAAGAGATGTATAACACAGTAGATACCAGCAATAGACTTAAAAGGCTACCAACAACTTTATAACCTTTACCATTGTAAAATAAGTACAAATTACTACCCAAAGCTGTAAAACACTGTTAAAAATACACTACATTTGTGTTTACCATACTATTAAAGGCCAATTTGAAAATTTACGACATCATAAATGTCTTATAAAAATCATCATGGACGCTCAATTAACCAGTTTACTCGCTCAATAATAATCTTAAAGCACAGAGTATGCAATGAACAGCGGTAACATCAAGAGATATTTTCGATGTAGCAACAAATAATTATATTATTTTTAATAAATATGTAAACATAAAATTAAATAATACTGTTTTTTCTCGTGTGGTTCCATACAAATTTGATCAATCTGACTGGTAGTTTTTCAGTTATCTTTAAAAAAAATGCGTATTTCATTGACTTCGAATACATAGATGATGTTCTCATTTTATTTATATTGAAATCGGTTGTACATTTTTTTAATTTTATTCGCATTTAAGGTGGACTTTGCTACTGTTGGTCTTAATGTAGTTAACCTCAATTATTCTCTGTCAATGAGTTAGTCTGTATCTTATTAAATGCATTACTAATAAACAATAGGCCGAGTACTAGAAACCTGGGCTAGTATGAGAAAATCCACTTTCTAAGAACTACAATTATAGAATAGGAACACATAAATTAAACCCAATCACCGATGTAGTTGTTTCACAGGCATATTTCTCAGTGGTGAGACTTTTATCACCGAGATTAACTTGACAACAATAAAGACAATAAAAAAATTACATTGAATAAAACAAATTTTACGAATTCTATCACGTTTAATTTAACCTATTTTTGTATTTTAATTTTTAAATCACGACAATTCAAAATCTGAAGGTAGGCGAGATAACTATGACATCGGGACGTTAAACACCTCAGTCTCTCCCGTGATAATGATCATGGGAGAGACTGAGGTGTTTAACGTCCCTTCCGTCCGTAAAGAGAACTGCAACCACCGCATCATCCTCCATCACGACAACGCGAGTTCTCACACCGCACACAGAACAAAAGAGTTTTTAGAGCAAGAAAACATAGAATTATTAGACCATCCGCCGTACAGCCCCGACCTAAGCCCTAATGATGTCTATACTTTCCCTAAAATAAAGAATAAATTGCGTGGACAGAGATTTTCATCACCTGAAGAAGCTGTGGACGCCTACAAATCGGCCATTTTGGAGACCCCAAATTCCGAATGGTATGGTTGCTTCAATGATTGGTTCCATCCTACGGAAAAATGTGTCAAATTTCGCGGAGAATACTTCGAAAAGCAATGAATACATTTTTAAATAGTAATGTTGTGTCACTTCCGTGATTCCCGAAATTTTCAGTGCCGCCTCGTAAGCACTTTGGTCAAACGTGCATAAACACGTCGCAAACTGACTGTTACATACCAACCTCATCGATACCTATGTTCTGTGACATACCCAGGTATCGGTATGTTTCAGCCTCGGAAGGGACCCTTAAGTCAATAGGCATAGATAAGTCTATGCCCTCAGAGTTAGCAACCCTTACTTTGCAACTTTCCGCTAAACATATAAAATGATGTGTCTTACCTGGATTGAAGCGCACCTCCCGCCCTCCCTCAATTGCATACACTAACTCCGTCACCACTAGACCAAGCACCACTACTCTCAACACCACTATTCCAGGCAAGACACACCATCGACGATAATACGACACGTGTTTCGCCTCTACACGAGGCATCCTCAGGTAATATAGACTCTACGGCGGCTGACCGCTAAGAGCGGTCACTTAGTAACTTAGCGGTCAGCCGCCGTAGAGTCTATATTACCTGAAGATGCCTCGTGTAGAGGCGAAACACGTGTCGTATTATCGTCGATGGTGTGTCTTCTTCGCCTGATTCTATCACTCAGCATATCAGTCTGCCGATGGGAGCCCTAGCCTTTGCGATACGTTCCCCAATTCTTATTCTCCAGGCTGGGATGGCGCTATTTTCTCTAGTACCACATCCAGCCCCCTTATTGTCACCACTGGTGATTACGATGAAATACCCCGTTTCCAGTAAAAAGTGTCTCCGGTTCGTTTCACTTATCATACGAAACAGGGCAGCATTAAGTTGTTAGTCATTTACCAGTCGAGCTGACCCATTAGTTCTACAAACTTAACATATGCAGTATAACTCTACTACGTACATAAATATTAGTTATATATAGATACATAAATATATAATAGTTGCTATTATTAGTAAAGAGGCAATCTAACTTGCCACCAAAACTTTTTTATTTTATAAACATTTACATATTTCTATACTTATTACATTCAGTTTGCAGTTACAATCGAGTTGGTGTTGAGTCTGTACAGTGTGCGACGACCATTTTTTTTATAGAATAGGGTGACAAACGAGCACGCAGTCCACCTGATGGTAAGTGGTTGCTGCGGCCCAGAGACATCTACATCTATCCTCCATTAAGAATCAAAATGCAGATGCGTTGTCACCCGTGAGGACTGAGATGGAATGCCTCGTTTCCAGTAAAAAGGGACCATAAAGCGATTTGCAAGTATTTATACGATTACATTCATTTGCTGCTAATAGTAATTATAAAATACGTAGACAGTAATTAAAGGTGCTAATAACAAGTTGTTAAACTGATCACCATTTTATTTAAAAAGAAATCCTTCATCATAAACATAAATGACTATAAAGTTCGAACGACTGGAACGCACCGTTTAGCGATCAACAATAAAGATTATCTATAACAGGTATACAATTACTTTGTCAGATTTTATCTAATATTACCTACTAAATGTTATATTTAATGCTATGAAAGACACGGTGTTCTTAATTTCGATCCCGAGAACATGCAACACGCCAATGAATCAAAATCGTACTAGTGGTAAGTAGTAGTTACTAAAACTACTTTTAAGGATTTTATCGCGTTTATTTTTTACTTTTTATTTTTAATTCCACCATTTTATTTTTAATTAAACCATTACATCAGATTTGATAGACCACAAATCCTCACGAAAGAACACCGATTCCTACCAAGGATGATACGTGAGGCTATTGAAATTAAAAAAACATCCTAATTTCAATAGAGAAGGAGGCTGGGTACTACCACCTGCTTGGGATCCTATAATCAATAAAATTAAAACTAAACCCAAGCATACCACCGCAAGACCTCAGGACATAGTCAGTTCATTTTGCATAGATCGGACCATAAACAGTAATTAAAAAGCTGAAGGTTCTCCGGGTTTAACAATGACATCGGGACGTCAGTCATCTCAGTCCCCCCGTGACCATGGGTGCTGGAAAGCGCCCGAAACGTCGGGAATTAAAAATAAAAAGTAAAAAATAAACGCGATAAAATCCGTAAAAGTAGTTTTAATCGTGTGCAATGTTCGCGTAAATATAAGAAATCATTATAGTAGTTACTATTTTTTTTTATAGAATAAGGGTGACGGACGAGCATTCACATCCACCTGATGGTAAGTGGATGCTGTGGCCCATAGACATCTACATTTATCCTCGATTAAGAATCAAAACGCAGATGCGTTGTCACCCCTGAGGAATATAATGGAATGCCTCGTTTCCAGTAAAAAAGGGTCTCCGGATCTCTACACTCACCATACGAAACACAGCAGCACTACGCTGCTATTTTACGCTGGTATTCTAAGAGAGCGTGGTCGTACCCTGGTCGAGTCGACCTATTCGTGATACAACTATAATATAGCCGCAGCGTGGCTCTACCACGTAGTTCACTATCGCGCTTCCGAAATTGTCACAATCCGTTCTAATTTCTATTGGAATACCAAGTTTCGAATATTTTCGCATAACCGTAATATAACATGCAACTGACAGTCGTAACAATACTGAAAAAAAAAATTTTTGACAAGGTGATTTCGTCTACTTATTTTATGGACTTTATACATGTAAGAGTTTACAGCAAACAATCACCAAGTTCACGCGATGGCATGTGAATGCTGTGATCCGTAGAGACACCTTCGTCTACCTTCGATTAAGAATCAAAATGCAGTTGTCACCCTGAAAACTACAAATATTAAGGGTATGTTCCGAAATACAACCCAGTACACTGTCGAATGCGAATGACGTCATGAATCGACGCTATACTGGTGATTCGTTCCAAAATATAGGGCAGTATGTGACGTCATACATTTACGCCATAGTGGAAAAGTGTTGGCGATTATTTTGTCATTTTGTGCTCCAAAAATCATTTTATCTTCGTAATGAAGATACCAGCAATTATTCTATAATTTTTTGTATTTGAATAAATAAAAACTAACAAAATTGTGGCATGCTTCATTCAGCGCACACACAATTAAAAATAGTTTTATTGTGGCCGGATATCCGACGCAATATGGCGGCGGCACGCCAGTACATTATACTGTCAGTTGATGACGTCATTTGCATTTGCCAGTGTACTGAGTTGTATTTCGGAACTTACCCTTAGAATGCCTCTTGATTACTAAGAAGGATTGCTAGATCTTTTACATACGATTTATACCATTTGATTATTTTTTTATTTATCATAGGTATTTCTGGAATTGCTCATAGTCGTCAAACGACAGGAAAATATTTATGGGCCGGTCGTTTTGTTATTTTATCATATATGTAAATATAAACCGGTGCAACTGTGACAAATATGGGGATATTTGTCATATATGTGGCAATGGTAGACCTACATTTTGATACGAGCGGTGGTAGTTTAGATGGTTAACGCACGCTGTAAATATTACAGTATGCGACTAACCCGGGTTCGATCCCCGCCGGCACCTATGGAATTGCAATGCAACTTTAAGTGCTGATTTACCACGTGCTCGGCGGAGAAGAAAACCATCGTGAGGAAAGCTGCATGTCTGAGGAATAAGAAAAAAAATATTTCCAGGACATGTGAAGTTCGGCAACACGCATTGGGGCAGCGCGGCGGACGCTTCCTCGTCCTAAAACCCTCCCAGAAATGAGAGAGGAGAGGAGGCCTGTGCCCAGAAGTGGGACGTATATAGGTTGTAACTTTTATGTGGCAATGTATGGGGTGGCGTATCTTTAGCAGTGAACTTTTGATAGACTATAATGGATTCATGAATAAGGACACTTTATTAACAATTATAAAAAAAGTTAAATTTACGCTAAACCCTAAATAAGTTCTATGTTTTGATATTCTGGAGTAATTTAATAATTTTTATGTTATGGTACGTGAGGGTACCTAATATGGTTATCCGGTTAATATGGTCACTTTCTTATAACTCAAAAACTACAGCCTTGTTTGCATAGATGGCTCTGTGATACGATAGCTCCTCATCAGTCAATCAAATATTAAAGGGTACCAAAAGGGCGCTGCTTCATCGACGACATTTTGACAGTTGAAATTGAAGTAAATATTTTAATTGTTTTTAGTTCTTTTAGGTTGATTTTTCGAAGTGTTCCGAATTATTGCCAGAATGATTGCCATTTGTTATTGTATAAAATTTTGTGTTTTTGTCTCTGTTTTACTCCTAGTTTTGGTTTTATAGGGCGGCAAACCTCACAGTATACCAGCCTAAAATAACAGCTTAATACTACTGTGTTTCGTATGGTGAGATCCGGAGACTAAAAGAATCTCAGGAAAAAGTCCTGGAAACGAGGTGTTCCATCTTAATACTCAGGGTGACAACGCATCTGCGTTTTGATTCTTAATCGAAGATAAATGTAAATGTCTATGGGCCACAGCATCCACTTACCATCAGGTGGACTGCGTGCTCGTGTGTCATCCTTATTCTATAAAAAAAGTATTTTTTTTAAATAAATTATTGTACAGAACTCTAAGTGTACTACTTCACACTTCCAAAAATCTTCACCTGTACTAAACGCGTTCACTAGAAATGAAACTTCAAAAAAATATAATAAATCTAAAATCTACTTAATGGTACTTTCTACATCGTGATTTAATTTTACAATATACATTTAACGGCGACACCTAGTGTTCAATTAGTAATAATAATCAAAGAAAACAACAAAGACAACTATACGACAAGTGTAACTACAAATCAAGGCTATCTAGGAAACAATGACCTTAAGCTATTAATCTTAAAAATCATACCATCTTTATCTTTCAATTAATATTATCTGTATTGTACACTCGGTGTTAGACCCGTTCACCACTTGATTGGTTTTATAATGAAATTTGTTTTTTATAAAGAAAAAATATAAACATATCAAATCTATAAAAATATCAAAAATTAGGCCACAAAGTAATAACGTTCAAACCGAGTAAATTACAATCATTTAAACTATCAATGAAAAATATTTTATGTGAAT